TGAACATAAAATTGTAATAAATTTCCAACATTTTGGTATAGTTTTTGTTAGCAAAATATAATTGTAAATATTTTAAATTTAATTTAAAAGTCGTGCTAATACGATGGGACACATTATATTAGAGTATTGAGCTTTGGTGTAAATAAACTAAAAACTATAAATAATTTTAATGTTAAGGATTTTATATAGCATATTACAGTATGTGTCACTCAAAGTCATACTATGTTAAATTCAATTGCACTTACATTACTAATTAATTGTATAGGTAACACATGTATAATAAGATAAATACCTAGTATTGTATATTATTCATAGCATTTAAACATAGTCAACCTTTCAATGACTCACAATATGAACATTATTTATAAAATAATTTTTTATAATGTGGTACAAATATAATGACATTTATAAAGTTTTCAAATTTATAATAATCTATTAATAATTTATATTATTTTACAACAGTGAATCTCAACGTAACAAATAATAAGTTACATCAATTATTCCCCATGAATTATTACTCTGTTATTACAGAGTGTCACACATGGAGTATCTTATGACAGTTTATTTTTGAATCACATATACTTCAGTGTATAATACAGAGTATTATAAGTGATTCAAAAATTAACGGTTAAAAGATACTGCATGTGTGACACACAGTTTGCAAGTGAACAAAAGTCAAAAATTGAATTTTCTACTTTAGTAAAACATTGGGAAACACTTTTTTACAGTTTACGTATTATTCATGTGATTAAACATGTAATTGTTTTTATATTGTTTAGATTTTTGAAGTCTAAGTAATAGTACATTATATAATAATGTATTATAAACAATACAAGTAAATAAATAATTAATACACAGTTTTATTGTGTTTATTGCCAATACATGTGATTAACATCAATAAATTATATAACATAAAAGTATTATAATCAAGAATTAATAAATCAAATAAGATCAAATTGTATTTTCATCAAGCTCCAAACACTTTCGAATAGCAATCCTGTAAATGAAACAAAATAAATTTAAAACAAAAATCAAATTTGCAGTAAACATATCAACAACATTCATACAAAAATTAGCTACTTACATTCAAAGACGACTTTACCAGCTTTATAGCCTCATCATGCACCTTTTGCCAGTATTTGTCGTAGCATGATAAATCCAGTTCCTTACACGCGTAATATAAATGATTTTGATTTTCTTCATTGTTTGTTAAATTTTTGAACTTGGTAAAAAATGCGTTGTCCTTGGTGTTGCATTTGAGTGTCATATATTCAAACTAAATTATAAAATTATTCAGAAATTTTATTATATTCAAAATACTCATGGATTAATTTATAGAAATTTTATATTGACATGGAGTAACTATAATTAATTAAATATTCTTTGTTTACTAATATCATGATGACTTTACGGCTTTTTTATCAATTATTATTTATAAATTGTTTTTATTGTAGCAATATAATTTATAGTTTTGATTACTAATAAAATATTATAGTTTTTAATATTTATAATATTGTATTTAGCGTATAAATTCATTTTATAGGTTTAATTTATGCGGTGTGTGCTTGATTAATTTAATTCTAGCTTAATAATTTTTAATAATATTCATGAATCAAAATAAATGATCAACATACTTTGTCCTTGACTTTTTCGTAGATCTTATCGTGCTCATCATCGCATTTTGCTAACTTAGCAGCCAGATCATCATTAAATATACCTGGGTCACATATTTTGGCTTTAGTTTCGCTCTTGATAAAGTCGTATATAAGATAAGATTTTTCACCATGCTCAGCACTTATTGTTACAAATACCAAAAAACTGGCTATCAATATAATAATTCGTATCATAATAAAATATGTTAATTATTTTTAATAAATAAATAACTCATAAATTTATTTAAATAAAATTTGTCAAATATTACTGATTTATATACTAGTATTTAAGTAAATATAAAATATGATTGATTTCATTATAATTATTATTTTGACTTGGATCTATTATTTAAACAGGTTATATTAAAATTGTAAGTTACTGTTGCACTGATATTTTTATTAATATGCCATTGAACAATTACAAGTCAACAATGGTTATTGTTAACAATTATTGTATTAATAAAACTTGCGTATGTTTATATAACCTGTAATAATATACCTTATAATGTAATAACATTTTAATATCCTGTATGAAAGTCAAGGTAAATTAATAGTTATAATATTATACTTTACATAACGTGATAAAAAGTTATTAGTAAAATACAATAATATTATATTATGCATTAACATTAATAAAAACAAACTATTTATTCAGTTGTATGTCTGTCTAATTTTTTAATTAAAAAAATATTTTATATTAATTAGTATAAATCTAAAAATAAAAGTTGTATAATATTTTATATCCAAGGCTTATATAGATAGATTGAAATATTATTTAAATATTTGCATTCGTCAGATATGTATCATTATCATTTCAATAACATAATAATTTATTTATTCTTAATACATGTTATAAATAATTACTAATTGTAATTTGACAATTATTGCTTGAATATTAACATAATTAAAAATAACACGTTAAACTTAGAATACTGCTGTTATCAAGCTCCAAACACCTTTGAATAGCAATCCTGCAAAATTAGACATAATATTATACATTTAAACTAATCATAAAATTTCACAACAATAATACAAATAATGTACTTACATTCAACGACTTTTTGTGCTTGATGCCAACCTCATTTAGCTTGGCAAAGTACGAATCGTAGCATTTATCACTCAACTCATCGCACGTATGGTGCAAATGGTGTTGATTTTCCTCTTTCCTTAATTTCTTAAACTTTGCGAAAAACTCTGTCTCTTTCTTCTCGCAATCGTGGTATAAGTTTTCAAACTTTTTCAAAATTATCAAATCATCAAAATTAGTGTAATTCTAATTACCGAGGCTAATGTTTAATTAGCGTGTTGAATCATATTTATAATTGCAACTTGCGCGATTACATAATCATTCAAATGACCAACATACTTTTTCTATCTCTTTCTCAACCGCCGTAGAGTACGATTCATCGCATTTATCCAATTTGACAGCCAAAGCATCGCTCATAACACCAGGGTCACACATTTTGGCTTTATTTGGCTTGTTAATAAAATCGTTTAGACCATGTTCCTCGTGACCACGTACACAAACTGCCAAGATCACAATTAATGACAAAATAGTAATCGCATTCAAATGAGACATTTCAAAAAATAATTCTACAAAATATATATTAATAAACTTGTAAAATTAGTTAATGATACAGTATTTATAGAAAATTTTAAATAAGTTTATTATTCAATAAAATACCAGTATTTATTTTGAGAACAATCATATAATATTCATGTATATTATACAATTGATTTGGATTTAAGTATTTAACCAAGACAATAATTGTGTTAATTAGTTATATTAATTAGTAAATGGCATGTTTGGTCTCTGTATCACATTCTTGTTAATTATGTTTACTCAACAACATTACTCAATATATTGAGCATTTGTGCAAATAAACTACAAAATATAATCATTATAATAAAAATAAAATTTACTTTTCAACTCACAATCTGTGACACAATTTGACCGATTTTTGTCTTCGGACACAAATTATAATCATTTGTTAATAATCAGTCAAATTGTATCACAAATTATGAGTTGAAAAGTAAATTTTATTGTTATTAAAATTTTTACTTGTGATAACATAAACCTCAATCAAATAATCATTATAATTTACAATTAATTTTATTGTGAAGTATATACAGATATGATTCATTATTTTTGTATAAAATATTATTTATAAAATATTTTTATACGGGGTTGCAAACTGTAATAGCTCATGATTTAATTTAATAGTGTTAGTTATATAACAAACAATAAATATTAAATATCTGATAGGATATTCCGATAAGTGTATTAGAAAAAAGCTTTTTAATAATTAAATATATTAATAATAAAATTTTAATAAATCTAGTGAATATAGACATTTATCAAATATTAATGATTTATATAAGATAACTTAAATAAATATAAAATTTGATTGATTATATTCATAGAAATATTTTGTTTGATCAAATATTTAAGTAGGCTATATTGTTGGTTACTGATTCATGTTTATATTATTAATATACAAGAGATCATGAACATTTCAAAATGCTGATTGATTAATTGTATTAATAAAATTTGTAAGCATACGTTTGCATAACCTGTAATAATATACATAATAATGTAATAATATGAATGTCATGGTAAATTATTAGTAATAATATTATTAAGTTGTGACATAACGTGCAAACAAAGGTATAAGTAAAATATAATATATTTTAACATTAATATAATTTACAAACTATTTATTCAGTTTTATGTTTTATTTTAATTTAAAAATTTATTTCATATTAAGTTTCAATAAAATATTACATAATCATTAGTTTAATTATTTTATTAATTTATAAATAATAAAGGTTGTATGATTTTTTATTTTTCCGAAACTTATTATTCAAAATAATCAATACCAAAATTGTAATGACAAATTAAATTCAATTTATTTATTCTAAATACATGTTATAAATAATAAATCATTGTACTTGTACAATTATTAGTTAAAAGCTAACATTTTTATAAATAACATGTTAATTTTATAAGATTGATATTATCAAACTACAAACACTTTTGAGTAGCAATCCTGTAAAAGTAAAAACAATTTTAATCTACCAAATTGAAAAGACTTCACAATTAAAATAATGTACTTACATTCAACAACTTTTTATGCTTGATGCCAACCTCCTTTATTTTGTCAATGTACTTATCATAGCATTTATCATCCAGCTCATCGCACGTGTCGTGTAAATGGTGCCGATTGTCCTCTTTCTTTAATTTCTTAAACTTTGCGACAAAATCCAAATCTTTTTTCTCGCAATCTTTGGACAAGTTTTCAAACTTTTAAAAAACCAGAAAATTGTTAAAATTAGTATAGCATATAATTCCAATTATTGCGACTAACATTTAAGTATCATGGTGAATAATTTGTATAATTGTAACATACACAATAACCTAATCATTCAAATAAGTAACATACTTGTTGTGTATCTTTATCAACTTCCGTTTCGTACAAATCATCGCATTTATCCAATTTGACAGCCAATTCATCGCTCATTATAGCAGGGTCACACATTTTTGCTTTAACAGAGTCGCTTATTAAATCGCGTGTTGCTATGTGGCCATGGTGATCTTGACCATGTATAAAAACTGCCAATGTCACAATTAATGACAAAATAGCAATCATATTTAAATGAAAAATTAAAAAAATAATAATTCTAAAATATATTAATATAAAAAATAGCTAATCGTACAGTATTTATAGAATTTTTAAAACTAAGTTTATTATTTCAGTGGATAGAAAACCCTTTGAATGTGAAGTATATAGGTTTAAAGATAAAAAGTTTATTAAGTTGTACTTATGTAGCATACTCATACTTGTTATCAATACTCATAATCAATCTTTTTATTATCAACTTCCGTTTCGTACAAATCATCGCATTTATCCAATTTGACAGCCAATTCATCGCTCATTATAGCAGGGTCACACATTTTGGCTTTAACAGAGTCGCTTATTAAATCGCGTGTTGCTGTGTGGCCATGGTGATCTTGACCATGTACAAAAACTGCAAAGATCACAACTAATGACAAAATAGCAATCATATTTAAATGAAAAATTTAAAAAATAATAATTCTAAAATATATTAATATAAAAAATAGCTAATCGTAAAGTATTTATAGAATTTTTAAAAATAAGTTTATTATTTAGTAAAATATTTATTCTAAGAAGTGTATACATTTGACGTAGTAGTTGACCAAGCGTTTTTTTAAATGATCAAAACAATTAATCAAAAAATGACATGTTTTATTTCAATTTCACACATTGGTTCATTATGTTTACTCAATAGTATAAATTAAAATATTGAGCATTTGTGTAAATAAACTACAAAATGTGATACAGTAGTACGTGGTGTCATCCAATGCGATACTATTTCAAAATCGAAATCAATTACATTACTATGAATTGCAATGGACTATACAATAGTAAAGGTACAGTAGATACAATAGCAATTCAAATAATACGATATCCTTCAATAATATATTAAATACCCAAAACCTTTCGATAACAATCCTATTCAAGAAAAAGCAGAGATTATGATTAAGTTTAATATTTTTAATTAAAACTAAAACTCACATTAATAGTCTTACTGTCCCGGATCAGTTTGTCGTGGATCTGCTTTTCAGCTTCATGTCTACATTTAGCGTAGTTAGCATCACAAGTATCCAGTACCTCATGCCGGTGCTGCTCATTATGTAATTTACCAAACTTTGCCACAAAACTATGCGACTTTTGGGCGCACCCTGCTACCTGTTCACCTAACTATCATAACAATATTAGAAAATTAAAATAATTTATTTAAAAACAGCAATTACATTATTTTTAATAAACTGCAATTTTTTAATTTTAAAACAAATATTATAAATTTAAAGTTTAAAAATTTTATGTATGGATTATGGATCAATTAGCCTTTAACTTTTTTGATTATCAAGGTTATTTTACTGCACCTTTTTGAAGGTAGGCTCCCATTTCTGGTGGAACTGGTGGTCGCATTTGAGCATTTGGTCCATTTTCTCGTCGCTCATGACATGCGGGTCACACATCTTGGCCTTAATCTTAGGGTCCAGTTCCTCCTGAAACTCGGAGCTCGTGTCACAACTCACTGAAAATAAGGTGATTACCAAACCTATTATTATTAGATATGTTTTCACCATGTTGACTACTCTAGTAAATGATTGTTTTTTGTTTTAACATAGTTTATTATGTAGAAAATATTCATTATCATTTCTATAATTATAATAATAATTATAATTAAGCTGATTAAATAACTCGTATAAGGGCAAAATATTTTCAATTTTACACTGAAAATAACATAACAAATAAAACATGTGTTGAAATAAATTTAATTATAGTGTACCACTGTAATAACACATTAAGCTTGTAATAATATATCATTGTATAAATATTTCTCAATTACATGTACAATGTAAAATAAATGCTTTAAAATTAACTTTATTATAATTATTGAAATTTTTATATTATAATGATTTACAAATATTAATGCAATTTATTGTTTATTATAAATCATTTATTTTTTAATTTTCAAACAAATATTTTTTGACATTAATTAATTCCCAGAGCAGTTTTATAGCAGTCCTATAATATTTATTATTAAAAATTATTAAAATTAAATATAATCTACGAAAATAAATACGTACATTTCTCAAATTATTAACAGGGATCATTTTGTCCTTGTAATTGTCCTGCATAGTTTTATAACATTTCTCGTTATAGGTGCCGCCGCACAATCTCACCAATTGGATCATGTTCATATAGACTTTGACATTAAATTTAGCCGGCTCAATCGCGCTATTGTTAACCATGCATTTTGATGATTCTTTGTAGTACTAAAATATTATTAATACATTTAATTAAAATTATTATAAATATAGTTTATCAAGGACATATACGTCAGTCAATATGGGTTTCTGTTGTTTTGTCCAATTCTGGTCGCAAGCAATCATTTTCTGGATTTTCTCATCGTTTATGACATTAGAGTCGCAAACCTGAGCCTTAAGACTACTGTCAACTCCGAGGGGCATATCCTGTAACGATATGGTAGCCCATAATAGTAGACATAAGACTGTGGTTAATATTGTAACCATAATTATTAAGTGTCAGCAAAATATTAATTTAAATGAGTTTAATTTGTAATATTTTATTATTATAAATAATAATTTCTATTTACATAAAAACGTGTTCAAACATTTCCATTTCATACAGATAATATTGATCTGTATAATAAATATGTACAAATAAAATTGATTTGTTTATATTAGCATGTGTCGAAATTATATGAAATATTGATTTAAAAAATATTAAATTACATACAAACTTTGTGTTTATTCATAAGATTAATAAACTAATATTGTATTCAAAAAATGTTCCTATAATGGATGGCTATAATGTTTATTTATACCCAATTAAATGTAAATAACAGAATAAATAGAATTTATTTAAATAAAATTTTACATTTTTTAATTTTTAAATTTCTCTACAAAAATCAAACAACTTATATTTCATAAATTTATTATTAATTTTACATTGAATGATAATTTTATTTTATTTTATTTTATTTTATTTTATTGTTTAAACAAATTACAATTAAAATAATTTGAACAATTATTGTTTATAAACTTTCACATGTGATTTTCATTGAATTTAATTATAGTATTAAAACCTTTTATTTCAAATAAAATGTTGTATTTCATTTAGCCCAGCACAGATTTATAACAATCCTAGATAAAATATAAAAATCTTATTAATAATTTTTAAACGTAATTATTTTATCCTGGTTATAACGAAAAGTACATACATTTCTAACTTTATCAATGGGTGCCATATATTGGTTTTCAAATAAGCCTCTACGACAATCCCGGTACTCAACATTACATTTCCACAATAACTGTCCCTGACTCTTTGCCACCTTAACATTACTGTAATTATCCAGAACCGATTTTAAGTTTTGCGTACAATTAGTGCTGTAGGTCTCCTTGTACTATAATGTTAAAAATTTTAACAATTTAAAATAACTTTATCAAAACCAAATATAAATGTGCTAGCTACAAACCTGGTCCCATTGAGTTTTCGCAGTTTTCTCCCAATCCGCGTCACATTTGACAAGTTTCTGCATTTTGTCGTCCGTTATAGCCGCCGGGTCACACATGTTTTATTTGTTATGTTATTTTCAGTGTAAAATTGAAAATATTTTGCCCTTATACGAGTTATT